TCTGTAAAACGTGGCCACCATGCCCTCGCCCTCTGCCCCACATTACCTCCATTTACTCATTCTCAGCACTGTTGGTGGACAAGGCGGGCCGGTACTGCGGGTGGTAAAAGAATTTACTAAAGACAAAGAATGAAAATAGAAAGGGATTTATTAGGCTGTGCTGCCATAGACAACAGCCAGCCACACAGATGAGCAGGCCAACAATCGAGGGTCAGTTGTTGGGGTCTTTTATAAGATGGAGTCACAAAGTGCCTGACTGGCTTGTGCACAAGTCTCTGATTGGTTGTAGGTGAAGTAAGAAGTTTAGGGCCCATGAAGGGTGGTAGGGTTATGACTCTGAAAAAGTGGGCTGAAACAAACCAGCCTGAGCCATTGTGAAATTAGGCATTACCTAAGGCTATTAGTTTGTTAGGGCAAACATGCCCAGAACGTACGTTATCTGTTGAGGGATCACAGGTAGACATCTGAGAGCCCAGGAATGTGGGCTGTTGGACTTTGAAGGACATCAGTTGGCTCCACAAGCACCTCCTTCACGTCTCTTCACTTAGTGTGCCCTATTCAGCCCTCATATACTGGAATCTGACCCATGTTACCCCATTTAATCAGACCCTGCACCACATTCCATATTACACATTCTCTATTACATGTACATATTCACTCTACTGCTTTTTCACCCTGATTCTCACTTTAACTTTTATTTCCCCATCCATTTGCACTGCCTCTTATCCACTTGTATTCAGTCACCCTGGGCCTCATGTTACTGCAGTTCCCTAATCCTCTATTTCTCATTACCCAAGTTCTTTGACATCACATCCCTTCTTCACCTCCATTCGCTTCCACGCAGACTCTCGTTTCTGACTTTCACCTTCACTTCCTGACACCGCATCACATGACTCCCATCTGCTCTCACGTGGCCCATTCTTCTGCTTTGTCCATTGACTCTGGGCCTCATTCTCTCCTTCATACACTCTCTTTCTGCCCCTGTATTCTTTTCTCTCCAGTGCTGTCCCCGTATTACTTGCATTTCCTGAAACTGCCCTGTCTTACTCCCAAAATTACCCACAGAAACTCTGCTCGGTCACCTTCATTCTTTCTCAATCTTCTCTTCCTTGCCTCCATTTGCTCTCATTCTGCCTCAGTCATTTAAAGTCACTGCCAATATAAGCCCTGTTTCCACTCATCACTCCCGTTCTGCTCCTGATTCCTGTCCAGTTGCTCCCACTCCGCCTCACAGTACCCTCATTCAGTTACACTCTGCCTTGGATTTACCACATTTTGCTGACAGTGGACCCCATGTCCCCCCATTTTACTCACTATGGGCCATGTGACCTTCATCCCCTCTCCCTTGGCCTCACAACACCCGATTACCCATCTGCTTTTGACTTCCATCCCCTCTCACTCTGCCCACTGTTACCTCCATTCATGCATATTCTTCAGCTCATTCACCCTGGCTGATTCCCACTGGGATCCCCGCACATTTCTGGAACGCTGTCCCGCATTCCTGGATCTGATCCCAGTCTGCTCCACATTTGCTTCCGGTCACTCTCATTCTTCATAGTATCCCCACTCAAACAAACTCAACCCGATTCACCTATTCACATTCTACCGCATCTTCATTTCCATTTCCTCTTCTGTCCCTTGTGCCCCACATTCTTCCCTCTGCGCCTCACATTACCTCCATTCACTCCTACTCTCCCCCTAAATTCGCTTCTCCTTACTTATACCGTGCCCCATAAACCATCACTCATTTACACTCTAATCCTTAATACTCATATCAATTTGCACTCTATGTATAGTTTGTTCTTTTTTGTTTTAGTGGAGATACTGGGGATTGAACCTAGGACCTCGTGCATGCTAAGCATGTACTCTACCACTGAGCTATAACTCCCCCTCAACTTGCACTCTAATGCTTCCATTCACGTTCACCACCATTCATTGCCCCATTCACTCACAGTCTGCTCCCAAAGTCACATTCTGTCACTTAGACTGTGTCTTATTTCCCCATCATCTACTCAGTCTCATCCATAATCTTAAATTAATTCAAAATCAAATACCTAGTCACTCCCTCATTCTGCCCCACATTGCCCACATTGACTCCGCTCTACTGCTTGTTCACCTCCCTGCCATCACCTAAGTCTCTCCTTGCCCCCATTCATTCCCAATTTGTCCTTCATTCACCATTATGCACCACCCCACCCCCGGCCCCCACTGGTCTCGTGTGTCTCCCGTTTAGTGACACATTGGCCAAGACAGAAAGGTCTGATGCATCATTCGGGATTCCATTGGGCTGCACATACCAACACCACCACAAATACCAGTTGCTTCAAGAGGATGGAAGGAGATTCCTCTCTTGGAAGCAGGTAGTTCAAAGCTAGAGTGGCAGCTCCAAGGTCATTGGAGAGCTGGCTCCTTCTGTGTTGTTGCCCTGCCAAACTCACCTGCTATCTCATGGTCCAAAATGATTGCTTACCATTAGCAACACTTCCATAGTTTTGATAAAATGTATCTTAAGAGCAATTGTGATGACTCACCAGTGAGTTGATGGGGGGTGGGGTGAACTTTGGGTGAGAGTGTCACATCGTGCAGATTCTGTGGTGGGACCAGCTACCTGTCAGCTTTCCACACCCCTTCACCTAGCTACCCGCTGCTTAGGCCACTGAATGAGTTTGCACCTGTAGGGACCAATGGTAGAGGATGCCCAAGGACAGAGTGTGGGCGTCCTAACTCCACAGTAGAAAAGCTGGCCTCACATAGCTTTTACATATGCACTGTGATCCCTGGAGCAGTTTCTGGAGGACTGCATCACTGGCTCAGAAACACTTCTGGAGCTAGCAAGCACTGCACCCCAAACTCACCAACCCTAAGGGATTTCTCCCTTCACATAGGGCTGTGTGCATGTGTGTGTGTGTACAAGGTGGTGGTGGGGTGATGTTTATAGGCTGGAAGAGGCCAGACTGGCATGAGCCCTAAAGGTCCAGCCCCTCCTATTTTCCACCTCCTAACACATTCAGAGAGATGACAAGTTTTTTACCCAAGAGGTGCAGATCCTTCAGGGAGCAAGAGACCTGAGTTACTTCCTTGCTTTCTCTCTTTGCTTTGTCTGCTTCTAATTGTACTTCTGATTTTAAAAATTCCTTGTCTAGTTTTAATGGTTCCGGAATGAGGACCCTCAGGTATTTTCTGGAAGTTCTATGGGATACTGAATAAACAAAAGAAGAATATTATTGGGTAGAAAAATTGAGGATCTGATCTTGGGAACATGTGTGACCTTGGGCAAGTTATTTAGTCTCTCTGGGACTCAGTTTCCTCACCTGACAAGAGAGGTGACCACAGGATTGCTGACAGAAAATGGGGACTCTCTGAGGCAGGTCATGCCATGTGCTTCACCCAGTGCCCGGCACACAGGAGATACTGAGCTAGGTCTGAGCCTCCATTGTCACTTGCTGGGCCTACCGGCAGGAGCCTTCTCACTGTTCTTCCTGTTTTCGCCCTTGCCCTCTGCGATCTGTTATCCACAGGTAGCCTGCAGGTCATCTTTTTATTTGTTTCCTTCTTATTTAAAAAAGTTTTGTACATATGCATGTCTAATTTTATAATAATAATAATAATAATAATAATAATAATAATAATAATAATATTCACTTACTCCATGCCAGGCATTATTCTAAACCATTTACAATGATCAGCTCATCTGTCACCACAGCCCTAATGAGGTAGGTGCTGTCATTATGCCCATTTTATAGGTGAGGAAATTTATCATATAGGAGTTAAGAGTCCTGCCGTAGATTACACAGCTGGTAGGCGCGAGTTTGAAACCAGGTTGTCTCCATCACGTTTGTTTGGTTGGTTCTGTTTTTGCCCCTCCTGTAGTCCCAATGGCTAGAACATTACCTGGCATACAGAAAGTGCTTAAGCAAACTCCTGCAGAACGCATGTTCTAGTGGCACAAGACAGGCAATAAACAAGATTCAAATATATGTGCATTTTTAAAGTTAATATATAATGCTAGATTGCTTCAGACCAGTCTTTTAAAAAATTGATTCCCCCTTACGGCGTCCCATTATGTCCAGAACAAAACATGAGCTCTGTCCCTGACAGAGGCCCTACAGCACCTGGCCCCCACTCTCTTTTCTCTTACCCGCAACTCCTACACACCCAACACATTGACACTGTTTCTGTTCCTCCAACACGGCAAACTAGGTCCTACTTCAGGGCCTTTGCAAGAGCCGTGCCCTCCACCACAAAACTCTTTGCTTCAGATATTTGGCTGGCTGGCTCCTTTTGGTCAGTGTAACTGTCCCCCTCAACGAAAGGAGATCGTCTCTGCCCATCCTGAGAAAGCTATCCGTCAGCCAGTACTGAACACATCCCCTTCATCCGTGTGTGTATGTGTGTGTGTGTGTCTGTGTCTGTGTGCGCGCACGCCCTAGGTGGCCCTTTATTCTTCAGCTTCTTGTTTGTCGGCACACCCTCCTTCAAACGCTAGACTGAAAACTCCCAGGCTCAGCCACTGGATGGAGCCAGTGACCTTTCCCTCTCTCCTAGCCTTTGTGCACGCAGAGCAATTCGGCCACGCATCTCGTCCTCCCGTTCAATTATACCTGCAAAACCTGCTGCCCTCCAAGTTCAAGACATCAAATTTCCCACTGCGAGCATTTTCCTTAATTGGGCACTTCTCCTCCCTGACATAAGGAAACCGGTCTTTGGAGTCTTAGGAATGACAGCCTCCGCAGATCAAAGGATACACCTGCTCTATGCGGCCGCACTCGAGGGGAAGAGACACGGTGGGCGTGGCCTTCTCTTCAGAGCAGTGACGTCACTGGAGCGGCCATCTTCCCTCCGCGCCTGCGCCGCAGCCCCACAGCGTTCGCGTCGGGCCGGCGGGAGGGGACCCCATGTTGACTATTGGCGGACGCGAGCTCAAAGCCCCCACTGAGCGTGCGCACACCGGGCCGCCGCAGCCCTGTGGGCTGAGGAGCCCGAGTTGGTCCCAAAGCGGAAGTGCTTTTCGGGGCCAGTTCTTGTCATGGTCTCCTCTGCAGCGAGCAGAAAATCTTGTCGAGAGAGAGGTTGAGGGGGGCGAGTGGTAGGGGCGATGGGCTGAGTGATGGGGAGTTCTGGGGGACGAGCGAAGCGGGTTTGTGGGGGTCACTGACGTGGGAGGTTTGGGGTGAGTGATGGTGGACCGAGAGGTCAGTGAATGAGGGTCTGTGGGCTCAATGGTAGACAAAGTTATGGGGCTAGTCAGGGTTGAATGGGGCTTATTAAACATTGACTTTTACACATTTTCCAGCACAGTGACCTGCGCTAAGGGTTCATACGCACCCCTTAAGCTCCTCCTTAGGCGCCCCCGCCTCTCCCTCTGTCCCTCTCCCCTTGCCCAAGCCCCGAGGTAGGGGCCTGGTGTGAATGCTCCAGCTGAAGTGAACCTGCACCCGAAGGCTTCCTTCTGGTTCCTGGGCAAGACGGCCCCAGTGAGGTGAGGAAAAGGAAGAAGAGGCACCTCAGAGAACTCACCTGACTAGGGGTCTCGCGCAGAGCTTGGGGCTTGGGAGGGGAGGGCAGGGTCTGGCATTGTGGGGGTCTGGGGGCGATCAGGCTTAAAACACACAGGATTAACAGCTTTAAGGTTCAATTTTGGGGGGGCATTTAACAAGTAACACATTTGAACTATAGATTGATGAGAAAATAGAGGAAAAGAAAAGAAAAAGGAACTGATTTTATCCCTCTACATTTAAATGTCCATTCTTAGACCTTTTTAAAAATGTGTATAATGGGTCTGAATTTTTAAACATGTAATGGATGGTTTTAAAATGGGTTCCTGCAGTTTTATAACCTACCAATTTTCATTTAGAAAGTTACTGCAATTCAGCTTGAAAGTTTTTTCCATAACTTTTAAAAACCTGTATTTATAGATAATATGTACAGAAAACTATACAGATAATAAGTATACAGTACCATACAATATGGTTTTTAATAGCTACATAGAATTTAATCCCTTGTATTTCCTTATTAATTCCATATTATGGGTCATATAGGATCGTTTAAGTTTGGCATTGTTAAAGTCAGTGCTAAAATGAAGGTACTTACAGGGAAATTATGTTTCATTATTTCCTTAAGGAAAATATCTAGAAATACAATTTCTGAGGCAGTACACAAGTATTCATAGGAAAAAAAAAACCTTTTGTGTTAGATACTGACGTGAGGAAAAGACTCAAGAATCCACAAATGGTTGTTAAAACCACCTGCTTGCCCAAACTTCCACAGAGCGGCCTTCTGCCCAGCTAGTGTGAGGGGATTCCTAGGCAGATAATTCTGGGCACTGGAGGCCTGATGGGGTCTCTCATAAACTACATTTCTCCACTCTTTTAGCTCAACCTTCACTCATCTCTGCCTTTTCCCAAGAAGAGCAGGAAATGGCCGGACCCCAGGTAAGTATGTTATTTGCTCCTTGTTTTACCACGCATGTGATGAATGATCTCAGGAAGGAATCTCAGACATAAAATAGAAAATTAGTTGTAAATAATTGTTAGGGAAAATGAGAGACAGCAGCAAGGCCAAATTAGAATGTAGACATACGAAAGACTTGGGGTGTAGCAGATAGTTACACATGACAATATTAGTTGAGTTGCAAAATTCTCTTTGAGCCTCTGGCAGGCAGAGGTAATCTGACTCATTTTATTTATCAAAGAGCGAGAACACACCAAATCCTCAGGAAAGTAAAGTTTTCCTGCAGTTGCCTTCCAAGGCATTTCTTTGCTGAATCATTACATGTATGGTGGAATTGTCTTCAATCATAGCCTAACGAAGGTGCAGTCCCTGGTTTCCTGTGGCTATTTCTTATTGCATTCTTCAGTGAGCTGGAGATATAATGTCAAGATGGAATCGGGAATGAAATATCTTAGGGAACTTGCTTGTCTTTCAAACGATTTCCCTGAAGTGATTTTCTCAGTTGGACTTTTTGATTCTCATTTGGCCAACAGACAAAGTCCTGCAGGCACTCACTGCCCACTGTCTTTTTTATTTCACTTTAAAAACTGTTATTTTTTAAATTCGTGTGCAGTAAAATTGATTTTGTTGTCCAGTGTGATAAATATTAACACCTGCGTAGATTGTTATAACTAATCTATGGGCTGGAGAAGAGTTTCATCATGCCAAAAAACTGCGTCCTGCTGCCCCTTTGTCCTCCCCCACCTGAAACCTCAGGCAGCCACACATCTTTTCTGTCACTAGAGTTTTATCTTTTCAAGAGTGTCACACATTATGTAACTTTATTTTTTTTAATTAAAATTTCTTTTGAGGTAATTGACTGACATGCCATTGTAAAAATAATACAGTGATCTCATGTATCCTTTACTCAGTTTCCATCCGTGATAACATATTGCAAAATTATAGTACAATGGCACAACCAGGATATCCACATTGATATGGTTAAGACACAGTTGCCCCAAGGATCTCTTATCCCTTATGTTGCTCTCTTATACCTGTATCCATCCATCCCTGCACCCCAATCCCATTCCAAGACTCCTAGCAACTACTAATCTGTTTCCATTTCTAGAATTTTGTCACTTCAGGAATGTGATATAAGTCAAATCATATAGTCTGTAACCTTTTGAGATTGGATTTTTTTTTCACTCAATATGATTCCCTGGAGATTCAGCCATGTTGTTGTGTGTGTCAATAGTTCTTTCCTTCTTTATAGCTGAGTGGCACTCCATGGTACAGATGTACCACAGCTTATTTATCCATTTACCTGTTGAAAGACATTTGAATGATTTTCAGTGTTTAAACATTCACACACAGGTTTTTGTGTGAACATACGTTTTCATTTCTCTGGAGTAAATATTTGAGCATTGCTGGGTCATATGGTAAGTGCACAGTTTAACTTTTTCAGAATCTGCCAAATGGTATTGCAGAATGGTTGAATTCTTTTTCATTTCCACCAGCAATGTATAAGAATTCCAGTTCCTTCACATTTTTGCCAACACTTGATACTGTCAGTACAGTTGACCCTTGAACAATGCTGGGCTTAGGGGCACTGACCCCCCACCTAGTAGTTGAAAATCCATCTACAATCTGCCTTCTGTATCTGCAGTTCCAAGTAACCACAGATCGTGTAGTACTGTAGTATGCATTTATTGAAAAAAAATCCACAAATAAGTGGACCCTCACAGTTCAAACCTATGTTGTTCAAGGGTCAACTGCATTTTAAATTTTAATTATTCTAGTTTATAGTGATCTCTCATGATGGTTTAATTTGTTTTGGTTTTTTAGGAGGTGGTTATTAGGTTTATTTATTTATTTTTAATGGAGGTGCTGGGGACTGAACCCAGGACCTTGTGCATGCTAAGCACACACTTTACCACTGAGCTGTACCCTCCCCACTGATGGTTTTACTTTGTATTTCCCTAATGGCTAATGATGTTGAGTATCTTTATGTATGCTTATTTATTTTTGCATATCCTCTTTGGTAAAGTGTCCAGTCAAGTCTTCTGCCCATTTTAAATTGGATTGTTTGTTTTCTCACTGTTGAGTTTTGAGAGTTCTCTATGTATTCTGTGCATAAGTCTTGTCACATAGCGTCGCTTGTAAATATTTTCTCCAAGTGTGTGGCTTGTCTTTTCATTCACTTAATAGTCTGGTTCACAGAGCGAGAATTTTTAATTTTGAAAATATCCAGTTTATAAACTATTAACTTTTATGGATTGTGCTTTCCATGTCAGGTCTAGGAGTTGGTTGCCTAACTCTAGGTGAAATGGAAAAACTCTAGTCTTCTACCTCCTGCATAGAGAAAAACCCCGTTCTTTCCTACTGTGTCCCTCCTATGAGTCTTCCTTTGCTCTGACTTGGAACAGTTCACTTCTGAGATTTCTGGTTGCCAAATGTGTGGAAGTTTCCCCCACAGCAGATTCTCTGTGACACCTGCTGGTTGTTCTGCGGCTTACCGTAGTTCTGAGGCTGTCTGCCTGGAGATTGTGTCAGATCCCACAGGTTAAGGGCTCAGTTCCACAAGACTGCCCCTACCTCCCAACATAAGACACCAGTCCAAAGGTTAGTGCTTAGTACCTGTGCTTCTGACCACCCAGCTGTTGATCAGAGGTTCCAGTGACCTCCTCTTTGGGGTCAATTAATTTGCTAGAGTAGCTCACAGAACTCAGGGAAACACCTTCCCAGTTTATTAAAGGATATGATAAAGGATACAGATGAACATCCAGATGGCAGATGCGTAAGGGCAAAGAATATGGGAAGGGGTGTGGAGCTTCCATACCCTCTCCAGGCCCAGGTGTGTCACTCTCCTAGTGCCTCCACGTGCTTACCAGTTCGGAAGCTCTCGGAGCCTAGTCCTTCATGTTTCTCTTATTGTTTTTAAGTGAAAGCAGGTTTATTTAGGGAGATACACCCTCCATAGACAGAGTGCGGGCCGTCTCAGAAGGCAATAGAGAGTGACCATGAGGTGTGGAGTTGTTAGGTTTTATGGGCTCAGTAATTTCATATGCTAATGAGTAGGAGGATTATTCCAACTACTTCGGGGAAGGGGCGGGGATTTCCAGGAATCAGGCCCCTGCCCACTTTTTGACCTTTTATGTTCATCCTAGGAACTGTCATGGCACCTGTGGGTGTGCCATGAGGCTCAAAGCCTTTGGCATGATTGATGAATTCATCGGCCATTGGCTTTTTTTTAAATTGAAGTATAGCTGATTTAAAAGTTGTGTTAGTTTCTGGTGTACAGCACAGTGACTCAGTTATACATATTTATATATGTGTATATATTCTTTTTCATAATAGATTATTACAAGCTATTGAATATAGTGCCCTGTGTCCTACAGTAGGACCTTGTTATTTATCTATTTTGTATATAGTAGTTTGTATCTGCTAATCCCAAACTCCTAATTCATCCCTCCCCCCTTCCTCTTTGGTAACAGTAAGTTTGTTTTCTATGTCTATAAGTCTATTTCTGTTTTGTAAATAAGTTCATTTGTGTCATTTTTTAGATTCCACATATAAGTGATATCATATGATACTTGTCTTTCTCTGATTTACTTCACTTCAGATGATAATCTTATGTTGCTGCAAATGGCATCATTTCATACTTCTTATGGCTGAGTAGTATTCCATTGTGTGGAATACTACTACACACACACCACAATTTCTTTATCCAGTCATCTGTTGATAGACATTTAGGTTGCTTCCATGTACTGGCTATTGTAAATAGTGATGCTATGAACATTGGGGTGCATGTATCTTTTCAAATTAGAGTTTCCTCTGGATATATGCCCAGGAGTGGGGTTGCTGGATCATGTGGTAACTCTAGTTTTTGTTTCTTAAGGACTTGCCATACTGTTTTCCATGGTGGATGCACCAAAGTACATTTCCACCAACAGTGTAGGAGGGTTCCCTTTTCTCCACGCCCTCTCCTGCATTTATTGTTTGTAGACTTTTGAATGATGGCCACTCTGACCTGTGTGAGGTGAAACCTCATTGTAGTTTTGATTTTTATTTCTGATAATTAGCGATATTGAGCATCTTTTCATGTGCCTGTTGGCCATCTGTATGTCTTCATTGGAGAAATATCTGTTTAGGTCTTCTGCCCATTTTTTGATTGGGTTGTTTGGTTTTTTGTTATTGAGTTATATGAGCTGTTTGAATATTCTGGAAGTTAAGCCCTTGTCAGTGACATTATTTGCAAATATTTTCTCCCAGTCAGTAGGTAGTAGGTCTTTTCATTTTGTTTATGGTTTCCTTTGCTGTGCAAAAGCTTATAAGTTTAATTAGGTCCCATTTGTTTATTTTTGCTTTTATTTCTATTGCCTTGGTAGACTGTCCTAGGAAAACATTGCTATGATTTATGTCAGAGAATGTTTTGCCTATGTTTTCTTCTAGATTTATGATGTCCTGTCTTATGTTTAAGTCTTTAAGCCATTTTGAGTTTATTTTTGTGTGTATAGTGTGAGGGAGTATAGTATATTTTTTGTATAGTGTAACTTCATTGATTTACATGTGGCTGTCCAGTTTTCCCAGTACCACTTGCTAAAGAGACTGTCTTTTCTCCATTGTGTGTTCTTGCCTCCTTTGTCAAAGATTAATTGACCACAGGTGTGTGGGTGGCTATTGGCTTTTGATTCAACTTCCAGCCCCTCACCTTCTTGACGCTGGAGGGTGGGACCAAAAGTTCCAACCCTCTAATCACACACATGGTTGGTTCTCCTGACAGCCAGCCCATGTCCTTAGGTGGGATCCTAAAGTCATCTCATTAACATGACAAAAGAGACCTTTATAGCTCTTAGCACTTAAGAAACTTAAAGGGTTTCAGGAGCTTCTCTCTGCCAGAAATGGGAAGTTAAAACCAAAAATATATTTCTTATTATAAATCAATATCCACTATGTCATGAAGATTTTCTCCTATTTCTTCTATAAGTTTTATAGTTTTAAG